GCGATCCCGCACACCCACCGTTCTCCTCCACTTTGAAGTCCGCGGGCAGCAGGTGGTCCTGCCGGTTGCCCAGCACGAAGGCCAGGAAGGAGAGGATGAGGGCGTCCAGGATGCCGATGATGCACAGGATGTAGGCCCAGCGCACGCTGCACGCGCCCAGCGTGTATTTGTCCGTTTTGTCCCCGCACATTCTCCTCACCTCGGCGGAGTCCCAGCCGTCGGGGTAGATCAGGCAGCCAATCATCAGCCCCGTAGCTGCAGGGACAGGGGGACACTGAGCTCCTCCGCTGATGATGGTGCCAAAGATTTTTACCTTTTTTTTGGTTTATATAAATTTGGAGCTTTGTGGATAGCTGTATAGAGAATACTTGTAGCTGTAGCTTCAAGTGTTTTTCTAATCTTTCTTCTCTACCTTTAAGAATAGTCAGCTAACCTTATAAACACATTCCTAAATGTTGTTTAGTCTTATTCCAAGAAGAGAACTAACTTAAAGAATGTTCTATTTTCCAGCCAGAATCTGGACCAGACACAACAAAAGTGGGGCAAAAGAAACCCCTGGACTGCTTCCAGAGGGTCAGGGCCCCAGGAATTATTACCTAACCAACTAACCTTTTGACTGGCCGGTGGATGATAAGTGCACTGACCTCCTAACCTTATAAAAATTGTAGAATTACTATTCCACATGTACTTTTCACCATGTTATTCCCCTTATAAGCTTTCAACTACAGGTTTGCTTTTATACTCACCCCAATTGCAAAGATGCATTCTATTTTCCAGGCACCAACACTGAAGTGGAGAGAGCAGCTGGAGGAGCAAACATCACACTGCAAACACATCAGGGGCTACAGATTTGTCCCTTGAAGGCACTGGGGTTGCTCATCCCCATGGGCTGGGCAGGGAGGAGGAGGAGGAGGAGGAGGAGCAGGATCTGCTGTGCTGCCTTCCCCCAGCCAAGGACAAGCAGCACCAGCATCTCCTGTCCCAGCGTTGCCCAGGCAACATCTCTGCTCCCTCTGCACAGAGCCCTGCCCGTGGCACTGCAAGGAAATATCTCCAAACAGAACTGCAATGGGTTCAGTCTGTGTGTGAGCAAACCCTGGCCTGGCACCTTGCAGCTGATTCCAGCCCAGGGTTTGCTAAGGTGGAGCTGCTGTCAGCAGCAGCTTTGTGGGCAGATTAATTCTGCTTGTTCAGCTGTGCTGGTTCCAGCAGCAGCTCCTGTGGCTGCTCAGAGCTCACACACAGCCTTGGGAGCTGCTCCAGCCTGGCCACGGGTCCCCAGCACCTCAGCTCACCTTTGCCATGGCAGCTGTGCCAGCAGGGTGCTGAAGGGCAGCTCGTGCCCCAGAATCTCAGCACTGCCTGCTTCCCCCACTCAGATAAATTTTATTTACTGGACAAGAACAATGACCAGGCTTGGGATGAGTTAACAGGAAAGGTTTTGGGACATGATTAACAAAAGCCCTTCACATGCTCCATTCCTGTGTGGGAAGTAACTGCTGCAGATGTGGGGCAGTCCCTGATTCCTGTCACACAAGAAACTGTGGTGGACAAGCAGATGTTTGTCCCTGCCCCTCCTGGACATCTGCAGCCCTTAATGCACCTTGTCCCACACCTGTGCTCCTTCTCTGCCACCAGGTGCTCAGAAACCAGAACCCCTTCTGGGCCACTGGCCTTGTCCTTGCCAATGTTTTCTTTTCCCTTGGCTTGGGGACAAGCCAGCAGCAAGGTGAGCAGGCAGCTCCTTATCTGCAGAGAGGATTTCTCTTCATGGAAAAGCAGCTGGTTAACTGCATACAGAATAAATCTTCCCTGTAACTAACAGAGAAATGGGGGAAGTGGGAAAAAAATAATTTCTGTGAAGCTGTGCCCTGGTTCAGAGCAAAGGCCAGGAAATTGATCCTGTCTTAGCCTGCCCACTCTGTAAAATAATTCCTGAAATGCAGCAGTACCTGTCCATGTGGCAGAACTGCCTGTGACAACTTTCTCTTCCCCCATTCAGAGCAACAACAAAAAATGGAAAAACCCCAACTGCCACAGCAAAGCCTCTTGGCCGCTGCTCCCCAGGAGGCTGAGCTGCCCCAAGCTTCTTATCTAAATCTTCGCTTGAGCTCGATTCTTTATCAGGGCACTGAAGGAACCCCGTGCCCCCTCCCACGGGTGTCAGCGGGGCTGTGGCCCCGGCTCACATCAATCATTCAGGAGCACCAAAGCCCTGGCTCGGGTTCCAGCTGAGCCAGGAGTTGGGTTACAGGTGTCTCAGGTGCCTTGGGGAGGGATGGGGAAGGTTTGAGGGCGGCGGGGAGGAGCAGCAAAGGGAGAAAATGCCAGCGATGGTACCAAATCAGCCAGTCGGTCCCCTCCCCGTGTTCCATCCTCCTCTGCATTATTCCCCGCGCTCAGGGAGTTACTACAATGGGCCAGCAAGCATCACCTCTGTCTGCCCGCTCCGTTCCTGCCGGATCCCAAACACCGGAGAGCGCTCTGTGCCCTGGGGGGGAATTTTGGTGCTCTCAAACTGATCCTCTGAAGCCTCCCTGCGGCTGAGCAGGAGCAGCGGCGCTGGGAGAAGCGAGTTTTGGGGCCACAAGGTTTGGGGCCACAAGGTTTGGGGCCACAAGTTTTGGGGGCATCAGTTTTGGCAGCATCACCTGGGGAAGCATCACCCGACATGCAGTGAGTCTGCTGCGTCTCAGCTGCTCTGGAAGGAGTTTTTTACTAAAAACTCCCCACTGGTAACCCCTAAAGGGGAGCACATGGCCTGGAGCTGACACTGGGGTCTCTTACCTGGCCAAACCCCCAT